GAGCAAGTCTTGACAAATCTCAGTCCTGAGGCCTTGCAAACTCATTACAAAGCCTGTGGCCTTTCGTTAGCAATAGGAATACATACAGTATTGCAATACATGCAAGGTAACAGCATTATCAACACAGTGGATGTTTGGCATGTTAACTGGTAGAGCTGGAGGATATGAATGGGTTAAATCATGTGAGAAAACCTGATAGCTCAGAGTGGGAGATTACACTCATATGGACTAATAATAAAACACTTGCTTCTATAATCTGGGACCTTGCCAGTTGCTTTGGAAAGAACAGATGAAGGGAAGGGCTTGTGAGTAATAGTTATTAACAGCAAAAAAGCCACCTGCAAAAGGCATATGTGATCCTAGGATGTGCTACATATGTTAGCTTCAGTAAGGCTAGGAAAAATAAACACTTGCTCGCCAATAGAGCTTCATCTGAAATTGTCTGGTTTGTTCTGGATGCTTGTGTTCAGGAAAGACTTGTTCAGATGTGAGAAATGGAGAACCTGCATATGAGTTAATTGCACGAGTGCAGAATTGCTCCAGTGAGCTAACTGAGATCCAAAGGGCTACGGAACACAGCATGAGAACACCTGGGCCACCTTGGGCTGCCAGCTTGGATATGAAGGAAGCAAACTGCATTTGCAGGGCCTTGGGTTGGAAGGAGTAAGCTTTCTCTTGGGCTGTTAGACAAAGCCTGGCACTTCATGAAATTGTCTGTAGTGTTTCTGGACTGAATGGAAGTGTCTACATGCTACTGTGCCTCACTATGTAGATACTGGTTTGTGTCTCTGGCAGAGCTGGGATTTGTGTGCTGCAGTCCATAGCATAGGTATTTCCTGAAGGAGTCGGTACACTTAGTCATGTGGACTGTACTCATCACAGCAAAGGAATGATTTAATGTATCAGGTTCAGAAGAGATGAGTGTGACTGTAAAATCAGGCCAGGGGTAGTGAGGGATTTGGAGTGGGAGGCTCAAGCTCCACTTAGAAGGTCCCATAAAGTGCAGCCATAGTGTTTCTGCCTGACTCTCTTTATGGTGGCCAACATGAAATTGAGCCCATGGATGGATGGTTGATGAACTCATTAATTTTCTGATTGCCTGCCATTTAAAAATTTTCCTTTAATTTTTTACTCCCAAGCAGAGAGTGACTGTGAAATCAACTTTAAGACTGAAGGAATTCCTTTGTCTCATTTTTGTTGGGAGAAGCCACTTGCTATGGTGCATCTCAGCTGGGCTTCCCTTCTCACCTTATTGCATACTTCATGTTTTCCCAACATTCTATATTTCAGTGTTTAGCTGTCATTAACTACTTCTCCTCTCATTCCTATTTTGGTGCTCTTTTCAAGATTACTCACTCTCTTTTTCTGATCTTGTTCCAGTTACCATTTAAACTGTTCCAAACTATCATTCTCTGTCTTTACCTTTTCTCTCTTCTAAAGTTTCCTGGAGCTCACCCCCTCCCCTCAAATGTTTCTTTTCTTTCCTTCTCTTTTATTTTTGTCTTTTCCTGTTGGTTGTGAATGCCACTTTTATTTGTTTAAATGCTGCTGTCGTGTTCTGTTTAGGGGCTCTTACACAGGATTTTAGAAATATTTTCCTTTCATGACACATGAATTACTTGTTACCATTGGTGCAGATAGAAAGCTCATTACAAAAATCAAAATGTTAAGGAGGAGCCCATCTTACACATCATGAAACACTTGAGTTTTTTATTGCTATTAGCAGTTTTGTCATTTCTTTAAATCAAAGGTTGAACTGGAAATGTTATCGCAGAATCTAATGAAAAGCAAAAATTGGCACCTTAGAATTTTGAAAAAATAAACCAAAAAAGAAAAAGATATTTGCAGTGGAATATATTGTTTTCAAAAACAAGTCCAGTCTGACAAGTTTTTTTCTTCATCCATCTTTTTAATGGCCAGCTGAAATATTTGCAAGGAAAACTGAAGACTGAACTCAATTGCTGATAGGTAGTGCGGTGATTTAGGCCCTGTTGGGACCTGAGACCACGCCGCTGTTGTCCCTCCCCACCCTCGGACCGGACGGGGCGGGGAGTGAGATACAAACCCCGGGGCGGAGATAAGGAAAAATTGAATACAACAGTGGAACAAATAATAAACCGAACAACAGCAATAGCAATAACAACAACAGTAAGCAGAGATATACCACAAGGATAGAGCAGCGAAGGGGAGCAACGACAAACAAAAGCTGTCGCTGCTCTTCCCACGCTTGGGCGCCCAGACCTGACGTCAGCATGGTATTGAATAACCCGTCTGGAGCTCCCTCCCCACTGCTGGGGAAACTTAATCCTGTCCTAGCTGAACCAGGACAGGTGGGATTTTCTGGACATCTGAAAAATATCTAATATTTAATGGGTATGTAATTTTGTGGGCGCATCTGCCCTTGCTGATCTATCATGTGCAAAACAATTATGCAATTTTCTGTTGTCATACTGGTTGCGTCAAATCTGAGATATGGCAAGGCCTCCATCTGTACAATATGGCTTTTCCCTTGTTGGTAATTAATAGCAAAGGCACTTCAGGAAGCAGTTTGGTGCTCTCTGCCAGAGGGAGATATATGTGTATATATATGTGTGTGTATATCTATCTATCTATCTATCTATCTATCTATCTATCTATCTATCTATCTATCTATCTATCTGTAGGTTTAGTGTTTGCCTTAGCTTGGCAAGTGTTTTGGCTGTAGGGAGACTTTGAGTCTTAGGAAAACATCCTATATTAAGGCTCTATGGGGTTTTGTTTATAGGGCTTCTGGAACATTTCAGATTCGAAAACCCAACTATTTTCCCTGCCTGTTTTGCTGAAAATAATGTCAATCAGATTTGAATTTGAGTCTCTATCAATTTAGTATAAGGCAGGTTCCCAAGAAACAGCTACCCATGGCTCCTGGTGACTGCCAGCAACCCATGTGGTGCATATGATCACACCCCAGGTCCCCGGGGTGGGCAGCAAGGATGTATGAGGGAGGCCCAAGTCCTCTCTTATGTGCGGCGGCATTCTGTGCAGCAAACTCACTAGTGCTGCCTTGCTTCAGCTTCTGACATCCCCAGACAGCATACTGGGATGGTGTCTTGAGATAAGTATTTGTTTCTCCTTCCGTATGTGTTTCCACACGAGCACTTAACTCCCTCCTTGAACAAGGGATTCTGGTGAGTCATTTGGAAGACAGGAAGTGCAGAGATAAATTGTAGTGAAAATGGGATATGAGGTAAGGTGCAATGCTACTGATGGTTGAAGGGAATGGGACTGAGAGGGGAAGTTTGGTATCCTAACAGTATTGCAACTGTGTTTGATTATGGAGAACTAGTTTGAAGTAAGTTTTTTTTTTTTTTTTTTTTTTTTTAAATTGCTTATTTTATTTGTTTGTTTATTTCATTTTCTGTAAAACGTGAGGGGGCTCCAAGTGGAAACATGTAGCAGAAGAAAGGAAAAAAGAAATCCAAGCTCACAGAGAACTCGTGTGCGCTAGCTTTGGGCTCTGAGTTCAGTGGAAACACTGGTGGTTCTTTTTTCATGATGGGAAATGGTACTTTCTTTTGAAGTAAACCAAACTGGTTCTAATAACAGATCTTTCAGACATCTGAATGCCAGGTCTCTTGCAGTCTTCACATGAACTTTATCTCAGCAAAACTATTAGCTTTTCTCATCTGTCTTCTAGCATGGTATTAAAGCTGGATACTCAAAAGTCTCAGTGTTTGGGATTCCTCTCCTGTTTTCATGCCAGTTGCAATTATGTTGCTTTTGAGCAAGAGGTTGCCAACAGGGAATATAGAGGAGAGCCAAATTAAGTTTCAGATAGATTTTGTTCTTTGTTCATGGTGAGAATTATTTCTCCCCCAAGGCTGCTGTACTCAGCAAAATGAGATCAGGTTGCCTCTAAACTCTCCGTAACATCAGCCTAGTTGAGTTTTTAAGGCCGTCTTAGTGGCCAGTACTGTTGACACCTCCTTGGAGGGCTGATGTAGCATGAATCTCATGGACCCTGGTTTGGAGAAAAAAAAAAAAAAAGCTGGAGAAACTTTCCATCCAAGCAATCTCTACTCCACTGTCTTGGTACCTGGCAGCCTGCTAGAGAGGTGTCTCTGACAAACAAGGTTGTTGCTTATTTTTAATGTATATTTGTTATAGCCCTGCTTTCAGATAAACAATGCCAAAATTAGACAATGAGAAGTATAGCAAAGTGAAAGGGAAATATGTGTGTAAGCTACTGAAATCAGCCAGCTCTGAATGACTTTTGGTGATTGGCTAATAACTGATGCTTCTCCATCAAGCAAATGTTTTAAATTCCTTTTTATATTTGAATATTTGCTTACCAAATCCAGATTTTGGGTTCATTAGCATGCTATGGATAGCCTCTAGTTGTGTGTGCAAGTCCTTTCTCTGTGCCCATTTTGCATTTCAGGCAAGTAGCTTAATTTATATTAGGAAGAGACACCAATTAGAGGGGAAGCAATATGACAATAACAATTAAGTTAATAAATCACATATTACCTATAAAAGTTTTCATGGAAGAAGCTCTTATTAGATGTCAAGTAAGCCTAATAAGAACTTGAACCCTTGCAAGGTGGACAGTGTAGCATTCCCTACTTCATATGGATGGGTAAGATGAAACACAAAGTATATGTTATGTTTAGTTTCACACAAATCACAGCCAGAGGTCAGAAGAGACAACTTCCAGGCCCATCAGGAGCCTCGATTCTCTGACAGGTTTCTGGAAGATGAGCAATAATTACTGAACTTCCTGTGGCAAAAGTCATCCATAACATCAGTGACATAGATGAGGGATTTGGTACACAGGCTGGAAGATAATTGTTAAAAATATTTGTATTCTCTCTGGAATTAATAGAATTGCCCATTCTGCCAATGGCTAATTAAATTTGCCCAGCCTCTGTCTTGTGGCCCTGAAGCAGAGCTTCGTAAAAATGATGTAGCGACACTTTAGATGGGGTCCCACTTTTTGCAGTATAACCAACCTTTTTTTTTTCCTCTCTCCTGTTAATCCCCAGAATGAAACAGCAACAACAGCAACGTCGAATGTTCACAGCTGCCCTCCTGGCACTTGTTTTCATTCTGGCAGCTGTGAGTACCACTGAGGCTGGCAAAAAAGAGAAACCAGGTAAGGTCCAGTGTAATTCAGAGCTAATCCCTGAGATAGATTGCATGTTTGGGAGAATGTCAAATGCTTCTGGTTTTGTTATGAAATTCAGGTCATTTGTTAACCTTTTGACATACAGGGTAGGGATTTGTGGCTGTGACATGTTCTGGGTTAAATAGGAAAATAGAAAGTATTTTCCATGAAAGCTGTCGGTTTGACAGCCCGAGAGACTGGAGTCCTTAGTTTATCACAGAGTGGGTATTGCAAGGCAGCTTAAAATTTGCTCTGGGAATAGGTTCATGCTTGACTTAGGGAGAACCAAACAGGAGTGATGAAAGAGCAGTTATCATGTCGCTTGTTCAGCGTTGTATATGACAATGCTACGCCAATGCTGTGTGATGTGGAAATCTTCCGACAAAGAATTGAACTAACTTGATGCTACAGATAGACAGCCAGACATCTAGCAGTAATTGCTTTCTGTCAGTAATGAACTCAGACCTCATTATAGGAGAAAGAGGCCTGGGGTGGAAAATTCATATCTATCAAACTCAGTTTTGACGGTTTTTAAGGAACACATATTTTGGTGTTTTTCTTAAGGTCTTATTATTTACAGACTACTAAAAAAAAAAAAAAAAAAAAAAAGTGTGGCTGTATGGAAATACAAGAAAATGTGAACATAAATACACAAGAGCTAGAAGGAAAATAATTCTATATCGGGTTATTTAAAGTTGTGATGTTTTCCTGGCCTAACTAATTATTTTTGTGAACCCTTGGGTTTGATAACATTGCTGTCTTTTTTTCATCAGACTTGGGTTTAAGGATTTAAATGAAATCTTACTTTTGTCCCTGAGCAGCAAACCTGCCAGTATTAAACAGCATTTTGAGTACCCTTCTCCGTGTAGTTTTTTCTTCACCTTTGGAGCAATGGTCATATTCTGACATAAAATGTGGCATGGTATACCAAATGAAAAGTTAATATCCCACAGCTGTTCCCTGGAGATGCTCAAATCCTCTGATACACAACATCAATATATACATTTTTAACCTGTAAAGCGTGTAGTGCTTCAGTTGGAACTGAAAATATTTGCATGCCATCAGCTACTGGAGACAGAGGAGTGTTCTGTCTGAGTGAGCTCTTCTGCATGTTTTAGTCACTGATTCCTGAGGGTTTCTAGATGGTTCTCCATCCTGAAGATGAGAATCCACTTGAGAATACCTAAGTGGACTAGTAGACATGATAGTGGGTCTGAATTTAAATGATCCACCCTGCTTTGGAGTCATAGAGGCTGACCTGTCTCTGCAGAATTGTGAAGAGGATTTTGAAGCAGTTGTTTTATGAAGGTCTTCCTTATTCACCCTTTCAGGTGCTGTGACTGTTTAGTGAAGTTTAGGGAACTTCTCCATAGTCTGTGGGTATTGACCACTTCTCTTGCTTGGGTTTGGTTGCTTGTCTTCATCCAGAGAAAAAAGTGAAGAAGTCTGACTGTGGGGAATGGCAGTGGAGCGTCTGTGTGCCCACCAGTGGCGACTGTGGTCTGGGGACACGTGAGGGTACCCGCACTGGGGCTGAGTGCAAACAAACCACCAAGACTCAGAAGTGTAAGATTCCCTGCAACTGGAAGAAGCAATTTGGAGGTAAGCATCACACTCTCAAAAGATTTGCTTTCGTTTTTACTTAAGTGTGGAGAAGGAAGCAGATGTCTTGGTGAAGGGGACTACTTCTGTATAGAACATGTAAGGCGTCAGAAGGCAGCTTCTTCAGAGCAAAGCAGCTCTTCTGCAGAGTCCATGTAACCTACTCATTGTAAACTCAGTGTTCCAGCACTGTGTTTAAATCTGATCTCCTGTGGTGTACAACCCTATTTAAGGTAGCAATGTAAGTGTCATGTGTCCACTCACAGCTGTGAATCTCTGCAATGGTTACCACAGGCATTATGTGACCTTGCGATGACCTTGCAGCATGGAGTATGGTTGGCTTACCAGTGTGTGCATTGAAAGGAGTGAATGAAGACCAGTGTATTTCATCTATATTATTCAGTTGAGAAGGTTCATCTGTAATAGTTCAGAAAGATACGTCAGATCTATCTTGGACAAGGTGTCTGTCCAGGACTCAGCTCCGATTGCTCTTGCAAACTTGGCTTTATTCTAATGAACAGCTTGTATAGCTTTGACATCATTGTGACCTTGCTAAGGCAGTAGTTATCAGTGTAGCAGTTTCAGACTTGACAAGTTCATAGTTGCACATACATTCTTGAAACTATTCAATCCTTATTTGGTAACCTTTGGCATCACACTACAACTATATAGAAAGTGAATGACATTTACCACAGCTCTTTCTTTCTTTTTTTAATATATCGTTCACAGTTAAATGTATTTGCCTTTATATGACAATAATACAATACCCATGCAAAATCAAGAGGATTCAGTTTTTAAGTTGGGGTGGG